GGGGGGGGGGGGAGGGCAGCACTATACAATGGCAGGACATGGGCCCTGCGGCCTGGGACTGCTGTGCCTGTGGGCAGGAGCAGGGCAGGCTCAGCTGCAAGGGGCGGACAGTGGTGGCCCAGGGGGAGGCAGGGAAGTTGGACATGGGCAGTGCTGGAAGGGGTGGTTATGGGTGGGGGCTAAGCTAAAATTTGGGGGGTCTATAGTTCCCCCCAAGCTGCCCCTAGTGCCACCCCTGCCACTGAGGGAGATCACTTTGTGTTGATCCACATGGGAAAGGTTTATATGGTCAACAGGACTCTGTTGACTCTGGGGGCTGTAGCTTACAACTCAGTCCTGATATAAGGAAGATGGGAGGGGTCTCTAGAGAGATGGGGCCTCTGGACTGAGCATCATTTTGGAGAGGGATCCTGAGAGCACCAGACCTTGGAGAGATGCCTCAGGCCAGGTTTGGTGTTCTATTAGCCCAAGCTCCTTTTGTGAATAAATCAAACCTCAGGAGGGAGCTCTGTTCTGAACCATGGTACTAGGAACTAGGCATGAAGGAGGGACTTGGGGAGGGAAAGAGGTAGTGTACAGTAGAGAGACACAGAAAGGTGGGGAGGGTGGAAGGGATAGGGGAAAGGAAGAGAGTTCAGTGGGAGGAAACGGCCTAATTCACATACTACAGGGTATAAGATGCTCCTTTGGGAGTGGCACATATCCTGTGGTGGGAGAACAGGTTATGAAGCATTTCCCAAATTGTGGGGCATGACCCCTTGTTCCTTGGGGGGAGGGTATATGCAAATCACTGCAGCAACTGATAGTGCCCCCTGCTTCAGTCACTCTCAAACCCTACCTGCTTCAGCAACTGCTGTCTCTTCCCCCAACCCTGATTCCCCCTTGCCACCGAGCACTACAAGGGAAATTAGCACAATCATTGGCAGGGGGAATCATCAGAGGCAGTTGAAGTACTGGGGCTTGAGAGCTGCTGCCTTAATCATGGTCAGTGGTGAATCCACAAGATTTGTGAAATGCTGGGTTAGGGGTAGAGAGAGAAAGAGAAAAGGACAGAAAAAGAAAGAGAAAGAGAGTGAGCAAGAGAGGCAGGCTAACACACAAGTACACGGATTAAATATAAAATAAATAAAAAAAAAATCAACCAACCAAAACTTAAATCATAAAAATAACAATGGCTAAAATAAAACAAAGAAGAAGAATAACAAAAAACATGCAAATTTTCACAGGCTTTCAAATTAGTTGGCTGCTACAGAACTATCACCCAATACATAGAAAGCATATAAAGCAGCAGTTCAACCTCATCTCCCCTACACCTTTATTTTTTTTTGAAACTTTGTTTTAGCTTGAGGCTTTTTTGATGAAAGATCTAAGTATTGAACCTTGGCATACCTGGGTGGACTCCCAGGAACACAGTTAAGCTTTGGTTTTTACACACGGGTGTCCATTTCCATTCATTATTTCTAAGATTATCATCATTCATTTTTAGTAGCAGAAGTGTTGCTGGTTTCTGGTCCCTGATGCTCATTCTCAGTGCCAGCTAGGGATTTCAGGGTCAAAGGGCATGTGAAAGGGCAACCAAAACAGGAAAGTGCCTACTTACACTTCACCTGGAGAATCTGGTCACTGAGGTTTGCTTGGATGTAGTAGATACTGTAGGGTGGCAAAACCAGCCCCAGGCTGTGGAAGGGAAGGAAACAGAGAGAACATTTCTAATGAGGCTGTACAAGTATCCACAAGGAAGGAAATCCTGGCCACAGTGAACTCAGAGGCAGAACTCCCTTTGACTCTACTGGGGCTGGACTTCACCCTAAACACTATTCTAGACACCAGCCTCTGGGGCTGAGCCATCTGAAGCCAGTAGGCATTTTGTCTTTTGAGGAGGACAAGCCACTTAGCAGGGAATGAGGCACAGGCTCTGCTCTTGTACTGACAACCTGCACTGTTAAGTATGGGGACATCTGGCACAGCTGGTTTCAGCCCTTGCTTAATTAGGACATCAGCTCTTCAGCTAATAGGACCAAGAGATCTAAGGTAGTTCCTTTTCTCCCAGGAGCCACACCCAGATCCCATTCCAGGGACGCAGGATTCCAGGTCTGTTTTTTGCTTCCATACTCCAAGGGACCTACTTAGCTTCCCCATTCCTAGCAGCTGCAGAGAGATCCAGGAGGATATTTCTGTGCTCTCTTGGAATGGCATCTGGCCATGCTCTAGCTGTGTTTTATACTTTCCCTCCCAAGTGACATCCTCCTTTCCTTTGGACTGGACACCACTACTTGCATGGGCAGAACTTGTAGAAATGATATATAAATGCAATGGTTTGTGGGCTGGGACTCCCATGGATCAGGAGCTGAAAGGGCTGCACAGAAATAAGGCACATTTCTTTGACCCATCCCTCTGCCCCTTAGCCAGGGGCTGGAAGTTTGGCAAGGTCAGAGGCCACGACTTGCTATGAACCTTGCTGCAGGTGAACAGACTGCTACCTAACTAGCAGTCTTTCCTGGATGCACCAATGATACATCCCTCCCCAACACAGCAAACAGAGAGGCCTTCTAGATACAACATCAGAGTAGCAAATGCATTTAAAATGAAGTGGGAGCTGTCAAAAAGGAGTACTGGAACAGAATAGTCTTGTGGCTAATGCATGGGGGTAAAAGTCAGGATTCCTGGCTCTTAAACAGAATTTTTAGTCTCTCACCTGGTGCGTGCCTCAGTTGCCCTATCTGCAAAATAGGAAGAACCAGACTGACCTGCCTCATAAGATGATTATGTCATTTGTGGCTGTAAAGCTATTTGTGGTGTTTGGACAGAGGATGAAAGGAAGGTCAGGAATTTAGGATTATTATTAATAATATTGCAATATGGCGTGGGGGGGGGAGAGGGTGGTGAGCAGCGACTGCCCTCAGCCGCCACCGGCAGCATCAGCAGTGTTTCTTTCAGGGGTTGCACTGACATTCTCAGGAGGTGCACGTGCACCTGCGTGCACCCCCCTATGCATTGCCAATGAACAGCCCTAACCTAGTGTGGCCCCTGTACCCTCTACCCACTGCAGAAGTCTGACAGCACCAGCACACTTACAGGCTGGGGGAGGACGTTCTTAGCAGCACAGCAGTGGAAAGGGATCTTAGAGTCACTATTGACACCAAGATGAACATGAGTTGTTAATGTGACAAAGCAATCAGTAATGCTAACCGAACTTTATCATGCATTTGCAGGTGCATGACTTCATAGACTCATATATTCATAGACATTCAG